ACAAAATTAAACAAACATCCGTTAACAAAACATCGAATAAAAATAAAGATGTACTTAGCAGAATAGAATAGAATATTTATCTTCAGCTTACATTGCCAAGAAGGGACTTGGTTTAATAAAAATATAACTTAACCACACTCGTTTATCCATACCTAATCTCCTTTTCCTTTTCATTCTTCAAATTTCTTAGAACCTCACATTTTTTTAATTCCTTGCTCCAAAGTCTACTCCATATTTTCTTTCTGTTCCCGCTTAGTACCTTAAACCAGCTACTTACTTCTGACACTCATCAACATAACGTTCCACATGCAGTCTGTTTCTATTCTACAAAATTTACATTTCTTACATCCTGTTCTGTTCCTACCTTAGTCAAATTTTCCTTTCCTACATACGAGGGGTGTTCAAAATCGTATTTAGGGTGATGTAGGGAACTTTTATTCCCTACATCAAACTTCTCATACCTTTCATTGTATCTCGCTATCCTTAACCTGTTATCTTCCCTTATTGCCTTATTAAGCATCTCTTTCCTTCTTAATTATTTCTTCTTCTAAACTCTCGTAATTATACCCATTAAATAATTCCACTGCTCCGATACTCCATCCATTCTTTTTACAAAAGCTTCCTTTTCTCTATAAATCCTCCCACTTGTATTCCTTCTTTTCTTTCCGACAGCACCTTAATATACTATCTGTCTGTTTTCTTAATCCTCCTCTCGTATTTTATGGCCCTTATTCCTCGTCCTAACCTCAGTTTATCCATAGCAAGCTCTCTCATTATCACATACCTTGGCGTGCAGAAATCTATACCGAAAATCCATCTTACATAATCCAGCGTAATCTTCTCCAGACTTTCCCTCTTCTCTTATCCCCATATTTTAGCCCCACATGCCATAACGGTCTGTACCAAGTATTTGAAAATGCCTATCTCCTTAGATAACCATCCCTGCATAATCTTTCCTCTAAACCCCATACCTTCCTGGTTGATGTATTTAGTAAAATATTTTGCCTAGCTCAAAGTTAATATTGATCTTTCTCTTTAATAATTGACTTTACGCGTTGAGCAACGACGAAGACTTCGGCACCGTTATCCGAATTAGCTCGTTAATTGCTCTCGACATTTTCCTTTAGCGCCGGCTGACTCCGCGGAAAACCAGTTCCCGGCTTCGCGAAATGGAATATTTGTCACGGAAAATTAATATTTCCGCAAAGTTTCTTTGCGCTCGCCGCCGGGAGAAATCAAGTTTGATACATGACGCCATAAAGGATCACAAACAGCGATATTAATGAAGAACAAAAGTTTCAAACTGACGCTCTAACTTTTCGGCAAGTGTTGACACGGATAAAAATGGAGAAAAGCTTTCAAACAACAAAGTTTTGGATCATTTTAATCGAAAAAAGAACAACGTATGCATCCGCTTTTCTTTTTCCGCTTTTCTTTTCATTAAATTATACTTTTAAAGCTGAATTTAATTATCAGAACGTTACACAGGAAAAACAAACAGCTTTGCTAGAGTATAAAGTACTAAAGAGATCAACCTTCAAATAAGTTGTAGATAATATATAAATCAAGAAAACGATTTTAACATGGAAACGCTCGTTAAAAGAGTAAACAATATAAAAACCTATAAAAATTAAATTAAAATCAATTAACTCTAACAAAAATTTTAAAACAATACATGTCATTATTGATGGCAATAATGAAATATCAATTTAAAAGCCTGCAGTAATTGTAAAGGTGAAAATATGATTGATGTTGCAACGCGAATGCGCGAGGCAATATCCGCAATAAATTCCATCACAATGCAATCTAACACTTTGAACTGTAGGATGCACGAACCTGGATATTCATCATCGCGCAAGTCACTATATTTCACGACGGTTCATTGATTAAAAACGATTGAAAGATATCTAGAGACGCGTAAGCCAATGTCAACATACGAGATGGTTCTCAATCGCGGAATGGATCGTCTGGAAACGTAAGGCTTAATCGAGGTGTTCATCGATGCTATAAATAACCGCGACAATTGTACGATCAGAATACATCTCTCTAATTATTGTTTAATTATTACAGACAAATTACATTTTAAAGATTATGTTTGATGTTAATATTAAATTACTTGGTAATTTTATTGATACATAATTCGGGTACAGTTTAGTCTAGGTTTTGAAACTGTGTTTCGACAAATAATCGGTGCGCAGTTTGCGTAAGCTGAAAATTGTTAAATTCGCACCAAAAAATATTGTTAGGCACCAAGACCCACCTTTACTGAATGTCGCCTTCTTCGCTTCATTATGCTGATTATGTTTGATTTAGAATTTCGTTCATGGAATAAAGTTCATACGTTATAGTTGAAATAGCGTGTATAGTATTGCGCACACGCCGAATAGGGAAATGCTGGCGATAACTACGTGATACACGTCAGTACGGAACGAATATTCATGCTCGATCGAATAAAGACAGATACGTTGTAAATTGACAGCCGTCGTGCAACGGAACAAATTACAATTAAAGTCATACCAATCGAACGAATTGAGAACGGTCAAAGAATTTTCACGTGGTTCGTCTCGTAAAACTAGGATTTGCGATGTTTTACCTCGAGGATAAGATTTTCTTCGTGTCCACGCGAAAGTGAAGTATTACATCGACAGTTAATACATACTTTGACAATTTACAGCTTCGATTACTTTTTGTTATTAGCCAATTTGTAAAATATAAAATATATCGAAAACTTCTCCGAAGATTAAAACTTCATTGAAATTGCTGCAGCTATATTTTGCGTGATTTCAAATGACGACGAAAAACGAAGAATAGCTTTTCGAGCGGAAATCTTGCAGACGTGATTGTCGCATAATAGAGAGGACAATCGCAGCTGACTAAGTTAGAAGTGCGAGAAAGTACAGGAGACCGAAACACGCCTGCGGGACCGAATATATCGACTCTGAACTATCTGCAATCTAGTTTCGTGAGAAACCCAATAATCTAAAACTTTCATGCGTGTGCTCGCTGTTTATCGAACTTTTCGATATAATACGCGAACGTTTATTCTATTGGATTAGAGAAAGTATACGGCAAACAAAACAAAGATAATTACTATTCACGAGAAAGTTAGACATAAAAGTTGCTAATTAATGTTTATTTTTTACAAATAAGTTTTCATAAAAATTTTCCTTGTACGAATACTTTTTGCACTCATTGTATATTCGTATGATAAACTTAGATGTAAGAAGAATGAGGAAGTATGTATAATTAAACACTAAAATATCTTTACAAACATTTCGTAATGCTTGAAAGTGAAAATGCTTATAATACGTAAACGCTGGCTATTATGTATTGCCACAAAAAAAAAACACAATATTAGCGTTATAATACAACGACGAGTAACTGAACAAATAATTCTATAATTATACAACATTAGAATTCGCCATCTAATACCGAAAATATTAAGAGAGGCCATATATATAATATATATATTATATCTACACTAATATATCACCTTCTCTTTATTATTCATTAATCATTATAACATAGTTATACTAAATTCAGACAGACATAATTTTGAAATTACCACTAAAATTGTGAAGCCCTCTGTGATTTTCATGAGACTGAAATATAATAGACGTAAATGAATGTATTTGCTTTTCATGTTAAACAGCTTGACGCAATAATTGGGTGGCGGATTAAATTTTGATGCAATCCAAACACGACCTATGATGCACAAATGTGTAGGAGACAGGTCCCCTTTCCCATAAATGTGGTCGAGCAGAAATCAGCGAGAAAACAGAGAAAGGCAGATAACGATAGCGATTACTCTGCTTGAAAGAGCAGTCGCGGAGGAGAACGTAGTTGGAAAACGGGACTGACATCTATTGTTTTCTCTGACGACGGTATATCTGATGGTTGTTCCTCGAGATGTGCATATGACGTCAAAATTCGCGTGGTTGTTAGATTTATAATTTATATATGAACCCAACGACAGAGAAGAATCGCGTCATACATTTGATTTAAAATAAATCCGTGAGAAAACTGAGTTTTTATGTACATCTGCGCATATCTCGGTGCTCTCTTCTTATATTCCATGGATGAGAAAGAGAGAAAATAAAAAAATAAAACAATTTTAATCAAGGAAATATAAATTTACGAAATACTACAAACTAGTATTCTTTTCTGTTTTCATAATGTTATGATTTTAGTTTTACGACGCAATAATAGTTGTACAAGAATTTTATAATAATAATTTTTCTCTCTTGAAATTATCTTTGAAATGTACAAATATACATATAGAAATTTATAGAAAAAGCAATATGATGTAAAAAATAAAATTATGTAAAAAGTATATTTCTATCTAATTTAATGAATTGAGTTTTCCAAAGTTATACCTGCAATAATCGCCGATAATAAAGATATTATTTTGATATAAACGAGATTCCATCATATAAATAGGTAATACATTTTCATCGCAATGAAAACGTATATCTATGTATCTGTTTACACGTTTAGACTTTCAGACATATGATGAAAAAAAAAATCTGAGTAATCTTTACAAAATAATTCTTCATTCGCCTCATTCGATGCGTCAAGGCGACACCGAACCAAGGAGCTAATATAAACGGGACTGAATAAGCAACAAGCTCGATACCTTCAATGTACACACCGCGGCTTGTTTGCATTTGTTTATTCGCGATACGAGCTATGAAACACGTTGCCATCGTGTTGTTTCCCAGATTCTACGCATGTTCTATAAGACAAAACTAAACATCGTCGTCCTAGTATTTGAAATTTCTATATCGTATATCTTCATTTCATATTTTTACGTAAATAAAATTTTATCGTTAATTCTATTTGTTTCAAAAATTTTACTTTTATTTTTAATAATGTACATAAAAATATATGTAATTTAATTTTTTATCGAATATTTGTATAGTCTACATACACGAGTATGCAATAAATTAATTTAAAAGTAAATTATAAAATACTAGGTAAAAATATTTTCTTGCTTATAGAATGCCGACAGATGTGACCGGGGGCCCAGGACTCGCAGTAGTGGCAGGGGATGTTCTTACCCTGCGAGGCACAGGACTTGCTGCTGCAGAAACGTGGGCTCTCCTCTGCCAAGCAGCCCAGGCCCTCCAGGATCTTTTTCTCTCAAGTAAGTAAAAAAAATTACGTATTTTATTATATATAATCCACGGCATTATCCGTGATGAAATATTTCAATATAATAGTTGTTTTTAGAGGTAAGAGGAAAAATCAAGCAACAATAAAAATTGATGTATCTGATAAACTATTATCACTAATAATTAATATTTCATATAAACAATATATTTATTGTTCCAATTTTTATATCTTTATAGAAAAAGATAATCATGTGTTATTACTATATTTCACGTATTATTAATATACAAGTAATAAATAATAAAGTATAGTCCGCTCGTTTTATGCAAAGCAAATTATGTATAAAAGTCAATGATCGAGCATAAAAAGAAACTTATAAATAGCTAAATTTCTTTGTATTTATTAAATACAACGTAACGTGACCACGGATCCTTCTTCAGCACATATGAAATTTCTCTTAATGTACATACAATAATAAATAATAATTATACGCGCTATATTTTAATTGTTATCGAATAACGAATATATAAATTTGAAAAAAAGTGCAGACTAAATTTGAGTGGAAAAAAAAAA